TGCCGAGATCTTTAGCACGCCTCATATCGTCATCATAGTCGGCTGCACTTGCTCTATTGCCTGTGATTCCAACCTAAGTGCATTAAATTGTAACCCAATTCATCGTTTGCAACTTTGGTAAAAGACAAACCATGAAATGAGCAAAAACCAGTTTTGAGCTCGATGACTGCCTAGAAACGATTGCATATCGGGGAGTAGGAATAGCATAGCCCAATCCTAGACTGGCAGCAAAGGTAAAGAACGACGTGATAGTGTTGAAGATCATGATAACCAGACCAAAGCTGGCGGAAAGTCGTGAGCAACGTTGGAATGGGATGGGTTACAACACATAGCTATAATATAGATGTAGCGGCAATGAAACAGTGGAGGCGCATCATCATTTGATAGCCAGATTGCGAATCAGAATAGCCTTCGGGACATGTATTGGCAATACGAACTGGATCCCTGCGAGCGAATCTCTGCAACGTCGCGAATCGCTAATGAGATAGTATCGCTGCAAATTGGTATCGATGTCTGCTCACCTCAAGTAATATCATGTCACTTGAAAAGATGAAAACGAGCCCCAGAGCATCATTGGGACTAGAGCCATACTATGGGATTTGACACTGCGCCGCTTCAATCTCAATGCATCCTCAACACGAAACGCAATGCAGTGCGGTTTCCATAGGATACGGCCATTGTCACAATGATTGTCGTTGGAACATCGATGATTCATGATGAGAGGTCGTGGTGAAGAGAGGCGCAGTTAATCGTCACCTGGACGCGTGGACTTCGGCCCGAACTCGGGCTTCAGGCACCGGTCCAAAGACCAAGTAGGACCATGAAACGTCATCTATCTATCCTATTGTTCTCAACTCCCATCATTCGGCTCAAAGCAACGAGCTAGACAATGGACATACGCGGTTAGTTAAGCTAGTCGTCTCCTTCTAATAACTGTCTTACCCCATTGAATATTAGAACAAAACGACCGGTACATCAGATATCAGATGATTTCTATTGGTGAAGATGTTGAACCACGGTTAGATGTCATCTAACCTTATTAGTGAGCGCCCATCCAAAGTGCATGCTCTTTGAACTGTTTTTTACGCTCATCGCTCCTGGGCTCACAACGCCAGCCTCACATTAGATTCTGGTCGCTGGGTCATCTGTTTTAAAGCGGCTATTCGTCTTTGGTGACTTAATTGATTCAATCAACACCAATGTGTAGTAGCGGCTGACGAGTAGCGGCTCCTTACCTCTATGTGGAAAGTAGCTTGCTCCCCACGAGGATCGCAAGACCGAAACCGTCAAGCAGTCAGTCTTCTGACGGCCCGTTACTCGTGTTTACGACCAATCTGGGTAGTAATACTGTTGTGTTACGAGCAGGATGTCATCCGAAAATGCCTCGACACCTCTCGACACCTCCAACCCACCGGGAGTTAGTGGCCGTGATGCGACGAACGATCAAGTAATAGCATTGTCCTGAGCAATCAGTAAACCAAGCGGTATCCATAGGCTCCCACGCTGTTACGCTCTCCTACCTGCGGGTACTCCGCAGTGTGAGAGTTACCGGTGCAACCAATACATAGCTATCGTCGGTGCCGAACACCCTCGGCGACTGTATCACTTGTGTTCCTTAGGTATGTCTTGTTCTTGCCATAAAATATGTACTAAGGCCCTCCTAATGCAGCGTTTCTCTCTCTGTAAACACCAAAGCTAGAGGGAGAATATTCGTCTTGAAGCTTGTTTCTGTTTCATGACAATATTTCAGCCAAGACCGTTTCCGATAGAATGCCGTATGCATAGAGTAAGGTACGTTCTTATGTTCCTAGCAGTGATGGTTCTGAACTGGACAATCAGTTCCAGGCTTTGCAACATCATTCTTCAATGAATTAGTCCCGTTTTTCCGATCGAGGAGACTTACTACAGAGCTTCCGCTCCTTGGACACGACTGAACGCGGGAATGGGTGGCTAAGATTGTAAGTCTGATTATCTTGCCCAGCGCGTTTTTGACTCATCCTTAACGTATACGGGTAGGAACACTTATCGGCGGGACCCTTGCACTCTCGCGAATGTCGGACGAGAATACGAGTATAAAATAGCTGGGGTTTGAGCCAATTCTGCTTCACTCGTCAAAGACATGTCACCTCTCCAACCTGTTCTCGCTCTCGTAGCTTTGCTACCTTTTGTCCACCATTCGCTCGCCGCGATTGGACCAGTCGCAGACCTCGTCATCAGTAACCAGGACGTGTCTCCTGACGGTTTCACTCGTGGTGCAGTCGTTGCAGGCGGCAGTACCATCGGGCCTCTAATCGTAGGAAACAAGGTAAGTCTAGTGACTGCTATTTCTTGAACTATTCGCATTGACCGATGGAACAGGGAGACAATCTCCAAATTAACCTCGTCAATAACTTGAATGATGATACCATGTTACAGTCCACCAGTATCGTAAGCATATCATTCCCGCTAGCTTTATTCTACCTTCTAATCAGTCAACAGCACTGGCACGGCTTCTTTCAGAAGACAACGAATTGGGCTGATGGTGTCGCATTCGTGAACCAATGTCCCATCGCCAAAGGAAACAGTTTCTTGTACGACTTTGATGTTCCTGACCAAGCGGGCACTTTCTGGTATCATTCCCATCTCTGTAAGTTCCAAATGGTTAGTTTTGTACACGTTCTAAATCACAATTCCTTAGCGACGCAGTACTGCGACGGACTCCGTGGCGCTATCGTGATATACGATCCAAACGATCCTCATGCATCCCTTTATGATGTTGACGATGGTATGCAAGACTTTGATTTCATTCTTCCAAGTGGCTCATTTATAATTTCAGAGTCCACCGTCATCACTCTTGCGGACTGGTATCATGCAAAGGCCAAAACAATTGTATTTGGGTACGTGGATGTCATCCAGTGGAGATGATCGCTCACTTCTTCGACCCAGCACGCCGGATTCGACCTTGATCAACGGTCTTGGCCGCTGGTCTCAGGGAGACGACACAGATCTTTCAGTCATCACGGTGACCCCAGGGAGACGGTATGATTTATGCCTATAATCTACCACGGGTGAATATTCATTAATCGCTCAGATATCGTATGCGTTTGGTTAACACGGCTTGCGATGCCGCCTACACCTTTTCGATTGACAACCATACCATGTACGTGCTCGGAGTCATGTTATATTGCTGATTATAATCTCACAAATCAAATAGGACGGTCATCGAGACCGATGCTGTCAATAACGAGCCTCTGGAAGTCGATTCTCTTATGATCTATGCCGGTGGGTAATCCGTTCGGTGTAATATTTAACCGTACTTACAATGCTACTTCACAGGCCAACGTTATTCCTTTGTCGTACGTGAAGCCAATCTTGAGTTCTGAATAGCCCCACATGAAGCATGTTTCATCCTAGCTTAATGCTAACCAGGCAGCTGGAAACTACTGTGAGTCTAGAGCTCTCACTGATCCGAACCATACTCAGACATAACTTCTTAGGGATCCGCGCCAACCCCAACATTGGAACCATGGGATTCGCGAACGGCATCAACTCCGCAATTCTCCGTTATGAAGGTGCAGAAGTTGCGGAACCTCCAACTGTCGATATCACCAGCACGAACGCATTGAGCGAATCTAACCTTGTGGTAAGTCATCTTGACATATCGGTACATCGAATATGCCTCAATATTTCTTTCCATTAGCCTCTTGAAAATCCTGGTGTTCCAGGCGACCCAACTGTTGGTGGTGTGGATGTTGCTATGCACCTCAACTTTGCATTCGTATGTCTTCGCTATATTCGTGCCTATGACAACTAAATAATGGTTTCCCAGACCAGCGCAGCGAAATTTACCGTTAACGGTGCCGAATTCGTTTCCCCAAACGTTCCTGTCTTGCTACAAATCCTCAGTGGTGCACAAAACCCCGATTCTCTCCTTCCTTCAGGATCTATTATTTCTCTCCCTTCAAACGCGACTGTAGAGCTCTCAATGACCGGAGGTCTTCTTGGACTCGAGGTGAGCCTTCTATTGTACATTTCAGGTAATATCAGGGCTTAAACGGTATCTTCGCACTCGGCTTTAGCATCCCATTCATTTACACGGTGTAAGTTCTCTTCCAACCGGCCAATATTCGTTACCATATACCTACGCTGACTCCTATCATTCCAGCACACCTTTGATGTTGTCCGTTCCGCTGGATCAAGCGACTATAACTTTGTAAATCCCGTAAGCACGTTTCTTTCCTCCTTTCGTACTCGAGGACTTACTCGCACGATGCACGCAGATTCGCCGGGATGTCGTCAACGCCGGAAGTACCAGCGACAACGTTACTATCCGATTCAGAACGGATAACCCAGGTCCTTGGATTATGCATTGCCATATTGACTGGCATCTCGAGAAGTATGTGGCGAGTTTCTGATTTGGAGAGTTGTTTCTGATATGATCATGGTGATTACCTATAGTGGGTTTGCTGTTGTGTTCGCCGAACGTACTTCGGAGTGGAGTTCGAACATTGATCCTACTGGTACGTACGCTTTCTTTGCCGCTCAGCGAAAGATAACACTGACTCCCTTTGGCAGATCAATGGGACAACCTCTGCCCGACCTACGACGGGTTGAGTGATTCAGACCTCTAGAAACAAGACCACTCGTTTAACAGGAATCAAGTGAACTCGAACAAAACGGACTCCTTATTATCTTTATTGTGTTTATTCTTACTTAATGCAGCTGAGCGGTATAAGTCTAGAAAACAAGTCTTTCCTTGTGGGATTGGGTGGACGCCGAACTCGAACAAAAAGGAATCTTTAGTATTATCTTCGTTGTGTTTACTTATTCATCCTTATCACTGTTTATACTTATCCATACTTAATAGAAACTTGGGCTCTTGTTCAATGAATGGCATCTTGTGGGCATGCTATCTTCTATGAAAACATAAGCTGCTGGAACCGAGTTTCATGACTAGTATGAACATGTTCGTCCTAGGGTCGCAGGCTTCAGGGTGTGAGCGCCGCGAAAACCTACCTATCGGGCACATGGTATAGTTGGTTATCACATCCGCTTAGCAAGGACTTCTTTGACCAGACGCTGCTTGCAGGGGGTGCTGGGTTCAATTCCCAGTCTGCACATAAACGCGGACCGCGAACGATGTACTTTTTTCCAACTGCAAAACCGAAAAGACAATAAGTTACTACATTTTACATCCAAGTAATGACAGTAATGCCGTAGCAGTACACAAGATAGCCTTAGAGTACAGTACACCCAAGAAAATACTACAATATATAACCTAGAGATATGTGATGATATGTGTTGTCCCTCGTCCCAGCCACTACTTACGAACCACCAATCATCGACAGAACCCATCCGCGTGTCCGTAAGTCCGTATGTAATCCCGAATTTCCAATTACCTCCTTTCCGACGTGTCCATTCCATCGATGAGGTGATACGCCGGTGATTTAGAAATCCTCTACACGTAAACAGAGCGGCACGGCTTGCTATGAGCCAGTGATATTCATCTCCGGGTCGGCATGCACGTTGTGAAAAAGAACGACGAGAAAATTCATAAGAATAGGGGGTTCAGCGGGCGGCGGAAACGAAGAGTGGAGCTGGAGACTGGTGGAGACGTGTGGAATGACTAGTGAGGCAATATTTTCGTCACCATGACGCGGACAGAGGGCAATAAGCTGGTGATGATCGTGACGACGGCGATGGCGGGGCGGCAGTGGGAAGAGTTTCCTGTTTTGACTGAAAGGTTTGGTTTTTAGGGTAAGAGAAAGCTCGATGAGCGACGTGATTAGCTCAAACGAGCAAACTGGGGTGTGAATCCGACGACACTTGGCATGAGGGATGTGAAGAGGTGATTTGGGGTAAGAACGGAGGTGAATGAGGGATTAAGGGTTGTGATTTATGCAGGTGTCGTCGTTTTCAATGGGAGGCGAAAAAACGCCGTGTTCACAGCAAGTTCCAGCCGATTAGCGCTATAGGTATGAACTATGAGTAACAGGGTAGAGCAAGCGAGCGCATTGACATACCCACGGATTCACGAAGTGAATCGTCGGCCAAGATCTGGCCTCTGAGGTCTACCACCGCCACCATAATGTCCATTGACGCCATTTACACCATTAACATGATGTCCTCTAATCAAGCCTTCCCAACTCCTGAGAGCGCCCTCGAATCCTTCATTTGGTTTGACACAAGCACGTTTCTTCTTGATCATTGCCAGCGCCGAATCGTATGATTGATGGTGATACCTGATGAGATACGCAATGAGGATTGCGGTTGAGCGGGAGATGCCCTATTTGAGGTATAGATCAATAACGGGAAGGGCGCGCATGGGTAAATGGATGGAAGGCGGTACCTGCTGACAGTGAATCAAGACACTCTCGCCAGACTTGAGAGCCCTGTCGATGATTGCGCAGGTTTCTTCGAACCTATCGATGAGCTTGGAACTTTCAGGAGGCGATGTCGTTGATAGGAATCTGTCAACCGCTGGTCAGCCAAGCAGTACAATTCTCAGGCCCGGAGACGACGTACCTTGACGCACTTGAACTCCTTCTCCGGTAGTTGAGGCATCCAAGGTACATCCAGCACCTGAATCAACACCTTGATACGGTGTTCCCTCAAAAGCGAGATGTCTTGAATTGCTGAAAGAGAGCCGAGATACAAAGCGCCAGTCTGACCATAGGAGTAACTCGAGTTGCTCCTCTGCATTGAGCCGTTCGTTGAGATCGACATATCGGAACCGTTCGAAGAGATTGACATGTAGCTCGAGTTTGCTCTACTGAGCTGCGGGGGCGAAGACGGCTGAGACGTGGGTTGAGGAGAGAGAACCTGGTGCATTGGTGTACACATGGCCTGCATGACGTCGGGGGACATGTTCTCGAAGCGAATCATGGCTCGTTGTCGTTGTCTGGGACGATGAGGAAAGAATAAACGAAGGGAATGGATATGCGTCCTCGTCGTGTAAGGACGAAGAACGAAAGGAAATGAGAGTGGAGCTGCAGGGATGAAAAAGGGTTCTCGGTATGACTGTGGATTGATCCGGGACTCTATGACGTTATTCCGGTCCATATGGGCGGGTGCCTGACTTTTGACTTCTCCACTGCTCTGTTCCTGGCGGAGGACAAGAAAACGCCTGAATATGGGTTACAGTGGAGGTGAAAGGCATGGTCGAGGAGCTTTTACCGCCCACTACTCACATGAACCCCCTGAGCAGAATGAACACGGATTTTCTACTCTTTTTCAAGACAATGCATACCTTTCAAAGCACCGAGGTCTTCGTAAGCTTATCGCCGTTCAATTTTGCATCATGATTCACCGCCTTCGTCAGACGTTCAATCTTCGAGGGCCTAGACCATCTTCTAGAGCCTATCGCCGTTGAATCCACTGCGGCATCTCTTTCCAGACCATTACAACTGTCCGTTTTCGACATAAAGACCTTGGAACGTCTCTCGATCGACAGGTTCCCCCAGGTCCCCCCAGGTCCTCTTTCCAAACTCGCAATAATGAACCTCTCACGCGGGCAAAGGTAAATTTCAAACATTCGACGCCACTTTCGTATGTTGACAAGAACAAGGAACCAACATCCATCTCCAGTTTCTATTGGTCCGCGTTGGAGAACAAACGGAGAACAAACGGCTTGATAAGCTGATTTGCCAAACGCGAAACAAGATCTAAAAAGATGAATCGTGATTTTCTCGGTCAGTTTATTACTCTCTTCCGTTCATGTGTGATTGGTGTGCCTAGCCATCAAGTTTACCCCAATCCCTTTCGCCAATCATGGTCTACTTCCCACCTTCCGAAATTTGGGCGACGGAGACAAATGGATGGTTTACCATCCTGAGGCAGAAGTAAAAGGTAGCTCATGCTATGGACACACTGGGAATTGAACCCAGCACCCCCCGCATACTATATTGCAACATTGCAATGCTAAGCGGATGTGATAACCAACTACACCATGTGCCCGTACCACTTCTATTCCGTTGCTTCGTTTAGGAATGGGTATACATCAGCGTCTATTGACAATCATCAGCGTCGGGATCACGAAGCTCAGAACCCGCGCCCTTCACCTTGATTGGACCACGGGTTACTTTCCCCCATCAGAACGAAGAGAATATTGAATTGTGGAAGGTCGGGTGGCCGGTGAGAGGTATAGACGCGTTCACATTCACAGCACACGGTGGAGTTGCAGTGGATTCTGATTAGAAGGGATTCTATTGGAAAGCGCTCGTCCAATGAACGGTACTGGTATCAGCGGTATTCCGTGTGTATTGTGGGGCCCTAGCAAGGTATGATAGGATCTTCGCGCGTTTCTTTTGATTGTCAGAATTCCCTTAGCTGTGAACTAGTCCAAAAATTAGCATAGAGTTGATGCGAGGTTGTACACGAACGTGTATACCTAGTGAGGCCGACAATGAGGCCGAGCTCGTACATTTTTAGGCTTGTATCGAACATTCATAACTGGAGCTGAAGTAAACCGGATGGTCAACTAAGTGCTTTCACCCGAGCGAGAGGTGGTATATGAAACGAGGCACGTACTTGACAAGCAATAGGCCCAACGCGTTCAAGTTGGTTGAGTTCACTTCCTCCTTGTTCTCCAACTAGAACATGGTACTCTTCGGTGTCTTTCGCTGCAGGAATGAAACTTCTACAAATGAGGAAGAATATGATCAGTATTCTGGGAGAGGTGCATTAGTTAAGCCTTTACATCAAGAAACGGTGCACGTCCGTTGGTGGTTCCAGTTCCTTCATGTCATATGTTCGGGCTTGCCCATATGAATGCAAGCTATCTCATCCTTCCATCAGTGTCCTTTGTCAAAATCCGGACGTAAGGAATAGAGGATTGTCGATTACTGCGTGAAGGTAGCGATACCGGAAGATGGCCATAGCGTGAATCCTTCGATAGTGCGCCCCTAAGCTCGGATCGCTGGGCTTGAATGGCATTGAAGAGGACCTCGTGGTTTGGAAAGTCTTCGGCCTGAGGTACGCGTTCTTGCTAGATAGCTGTTGGACAAGATAAATGCTTCAGCACTCGGTGATGAAGAATCCCTTGTAGTACGTACCGCAACGAGTCCTCTCTTCAAACAATGATACGTCATCCCGTTGAGTTAACCAAGGTTTCTTCGTGGCATTGCCTTGGCTGAGGGTATGCGAGAGATTAGCTTTGACGTAGAGTGAAGAACATACGACATACCAGGAACACGAGAGTGATTAAGTTTTGTTATCGTTTCACCGGTCATGCAGATGCAGATATGGGTAGGAGTTAGCGCTTTGATTTGACATTCTTCGGTTTTCTCTTCGGTTTTACTGCTGGGGGATAACAGAGATAATCAGCGCTTGAATGAGGAAATAGGGACGAGGAACATACCTGATGGGCGACCGTACACCAGCAATTGTAGTTCTCCAGGTCTCGCTCCAGGTCTAGCTTTGTCTAGCTCTCCCTCTTCGAGTTTCGTTTTGGTAGCTTGGACTGTAGGAAAGCGATCAACTATCGAGTAAGGAAGTGTACATCAACAACGCACCAGTTTTATGGAATCACCCCTTGGATTCAGACCTGTGCGCTCTGTCTGTGAGAAGGAGTCATGAATGTTACAAAGACGAGATATTTCGCCCGGGGATCAACAAGAGTGTAGGTCTTGTCACATGATGAGCGCCACGTGGCCGTTATTGACGCGTTGACGTGTTGTGGGCGCTTACTTTAAGCTTCATTCATGTTCCTTTGTGAGGTGGCTTAATCTTTTGTAATAGCATGGCCTTCCTTTATGCCGTACGACAACAATAACAACATGTCCTTTTTGTGACATGCTTGGTCTCATGGGGTGGCTCGCATATATTTAGGCCACGCACTTCCTCTTCTCCACAATCATCGCACGTCCAGCTTAGCACATACAGTCTAGTGCACATATCTACCCAACCTCGTTCTCGATAGTCGATCTCTTCGCTTGTCTATCATGGCCAAATCCGAACCACTTGCATTTGACGATGACGGCAAACTCATTCTACCATCTTCCCTTCCGCCTCGTCAGGTAGTGGTCGGCGAGGTTCCTCCGCGTCCACGTAACGCATACATACTCTTCCGAAACGACTTCTTTGCCACAAACCGTGCCGATGGCCTCAAGGGTACCCGCGCACAGCTATCTGCGAAATGGCATGGTTCGCCGGAGATACGAGCACGGTATAAGCAATTGGCGGAGATAGAGTTGTCAAAACATCGCGATATGTATCCGGACTATGAATATAAGCCCAGTCAGAAGTTCAGGAATCAGCGCCGTTCCTTCCTTTGAGCCGTGACCGAGGCGGTCCTGGACATCGGGACAGGCTTATTTTCGCTGTACATACACGTACCTCTCGAATTATTCCAATTGTTCTATGTTATATAGCCTTTCCTCCATCTTTTGGTCTACGTATCCGTCTCTTTTTCTTTTTCGGCCAACTAGAGATAGCATATATCAGATATATCAGAGCCATCTAAGCGTTCCGACAACCCATCGAACCAGCAATGCACCTGTCACTGTGCTCATTCCACATAGATATCGGAATGTCATCTACAGTCCAGTGCCCACAAGGAATAACTTCACAAGCACAGGATGCAAAAGACTTCGGCAACAGAAGAGTAAATTGTGTCTCATGCTGATGATTGAGGTTCCATAGTATTGGAAGGGGTCCGTTACATTTGCAATATAGCCGTCAGGTCAGAGAGATCCAATAACGAGCATATTTACTGAGGATTACTGATGTCTTTTCGTTATTGTAAAAAAAAACATGAGCGATGCTGGCAGGTTCTTTATAATCAGAACGCGCAGCTCACCGTAGCGAGTGGAAGATTCTATCCCCGAAGAGACAGGACAGAGCAAAAATGGTCCGCAGAGCCAGGGAAGTATGGCAGGTATAACGTTGCTAGAGGCTCTTTACAATATGATATTCACCTTTGTCTATGTAGACTAAGGATAGCAAATGTTATCTACTACCTCGGTGAACCGAACGTTGAACGTGTACGATCTGGCAACCAGGAACGGGAAATTTTATCGTGGGAAAGAATCACTGGTTTGGAACCCTCGCGGGCCTAGACTGGCGTGATCTTTCTCGTCATCAACCGCCATGTTGTCCTCGAGATGTGGCTCTCCCTTCAACACTAACGAATCAAATAGGCATAATCGCAACCTTCTTAGAAAGTGGCTCGATAACCACTAAGCCACCGTACATTATAGCCCAATGCCGCCGCTAATCAGCCGGCAACCAAGATGCTGGCCAGCGGTGGCAGAAGATGTTTGTGGCATTTGGCCGTCACCCGTGGCATTCGAGCATAGCCGTCTGACTCAAGCATAATCACCAAGCCTGGACAATTTCCTTTAATGGAATATTTCAGCACCTTGAAGTTCAAGCAATATTACCATTTTTAGCTTCTGCTTGGGCCGTGGGCCTAGTGGCATCAACGCATTATCATTATCTTGGAGGTGATATAAAGGCGGTGACGGTGAAAAATCACGGCCTACACCTTATATCCTCTCTGCTCAGCCCACGTCTTCAAGTTTCAGCCATGGTCAACTCGAAATTATCAACCACCAAAAAAGCCAATCATATCCCACGTCCCCGGAATGCTTTCTTCATCTTTCGATGCGATTTCATGAAGCGTTCACCGGATACTGCACGATACCGATCGAACATCCAGATAGACTCTCAGATGTCGAGTTTATCAAAGGTGGCAGGGGCGATATGGCAGAGTATGAGCGAGGAGGAAAAGGGTCCGTGGCGGCTCAAGGCCGATATCGAGAAGCAGTTACATAGGGAGAAGTATCCCGACTACGTATACCAACCAAAAGCTCGGAAAGGGAGTAGCAAGGGCATAGCTCCGGCTTTGCTATCGCTGCATGAAGATGTCTCTCGCTTGGGCTCCCCAGGAAGCTCTACCGGCACAGATCACAGTGAAAACGCTGGGAACATCATCGATATTCCCGATCACTCTGCAGTTTCTTCCAATGGCGCGCGTATCGCTTCCCACAACATTTCCAGAGAGAATCAACTCTTGCCTACGCCTCAGGATTCGGAGGTGCCTCACTACGCGATGTCCCTTCCGCTATATGATGGCTCCTGGGGCCTAACACCCTCGAATTGGTCATGCCACAATAATTACACGTCCAGAATTGAGGTAATCGCTCGTTTGTCCGATGAATTTCATTTCACGCTTATGCTATTGTCATGTAGCCAAACGATAACCTAGCTATGAACTTTGTATCTGGAAGCTCTCTCGGATCTACGAATGTCCACCCATCTCAATTGTCACTCTACGGATCATATTACCGCGACGCGTGCGCGTACGATAATTCGCCCTATGGCAACGTTAATACCCAGCCGGATTCGGGCGTCGGGGAATTTCTGGGAACTTTACCTCCCAGTGCTGTCGATGAATGGTGGGATGAAGTGCTTGGGCATTGAGTGCGAAAATCGAAGTTCTTTTCTCAGTCAATTACTATGCATTACCCTCTTATAACTTGGATACCCTTTATTCATGCCCCTCATTCTTACTGTTTCGTAGTAGTCTATCATTGTATTGATCCCTATAGAATTACAGAATTTATGGCAATCAATGCTAAATTCCGAGTCTCAGCAATCCCAGTATGTTAACGAAGTAATGAGCAACTTTCTTCACTTTGAGAACTTCACTAGCAGTTGTTAGGAACAGTGTCGTCATCCTGGAAGCGACGAGCGTTTACTCCCAACCCCCGACTGGCGAAAGCTTTCCACAAGAGGCACTCGTTTTGACCATTGTATCGGTTCTGGTCAGCCTGTATAATTGCATCACGAGCATCTTGGAAGGTCGGGTTGCAGGGATTGAGGCTCAGCCCATCAATCAATAGGTGAAGGAAGACGACGTTTCCTTCGGAACCATTAGGGTCGGTCATGGCTTTGTCTGAGAAGCCATGCTCATCGACGAGCGCGGCATAGACATTATGAAGCATGTTGGCCCA